GACGTAGTTGTTTTTTAGTTGTTTCTGTGATGGAACATATTCGCTTGACTCTGAGTGCCTGACTGTACGGGATGCTCTTAGTACAATGAGCAGGATGACAACTTTTAGGGGACAGATATTGGTGAGTGTCAGTACGCTTAGAATATAGATCAGTGGATATGATGCCATCTGTGAGCGAGCTGGAGGTAACGAGGAAGGTGATTTTGGATTTAGATTTCTCATGAGTAAATTTGATACTTGGATGTATATTGTTGGCATGAGTGATGAATGTATCTAAATCCTCGTCACTTTTATTCCATTTCATATCCACATCATCTATAAATCTAAACCAGGAAAGCGGTTTTTCGATGGAAGATTCAAGGAGTTGTTTTTTTAATTTGCCCATAAATATGTTGGCATAAGATGGAGCCATTTTGGTGCCCATAGCAGTTCCATTAACTTGCAGATAATGATCTCCATCAAAAGTGAAGTTGTTGTTTTTGAGTACCAGCGTGAGCATTTTGACCAGGCATTCAGTAGGTGGATATTTCACTGGTCGGGAATTCCAAACTTCTTTACATGCATCAATGCCATCTGCATGTGGAATATTCGTGTAGAGGGAGGTGACGTCCATAGAGACAAGTGTCGTGTCGGAGGGGAGTGGATTTAAGGCCTGCAATTTTCTAAGATAATCGATAGTATCTTTGATGTGAGATGGTAAGTCTTCAACATGTTGAAGAAGATGGAAGTCAACGAATTCCGATATTTTTTCGTCGGATGACCGTTCGCTTAAACTATAGGTCTTCCTGGGTTATTGTCCTTATGAATTTTAGGTAAAAGATAAAATCTGCCCGGTTTTGGATTTTCTTGTTTCAAATATTTTAGAGTCTTTTCATCGATGAAACCATCGTTGAAACCATTTCTACCAAACTATCAGTTATGTCTCTGCTAAAAGATGTTGTAGGATCAGAGTCTAGTTTTTGGTAGAACCTTGCATCGCCAAGTTGTCGTTCAGCCTCTTGAATATAGGCAGATTTATCCATGACAACCATTGCACTGCCTTTGCCTGCAGGTTTAATGACGATATTGTCGTTAGATCGTAAGTTTTTCAGTGCAGTTCGTTCTTCATTGGTAAGATTGTCAAAAGGTTTATTGTTATTTCTAGTATTTCTAATAATGTCCGACATAAAATTGTCAATAAATGATTCCAAGGTGGCATTTTGCTCGGTTTAGGGATCCAAGTACTCTTTTTTATAAATTTGTAGTTGTTCTCGTCTTCTGAAATTTCTGAGTCGCTATCCGAGCATCTGTTGTTATTCTCCTTCGGCGCGAAATATTCCTTAATGCGTAGACTTCTGGCAAAATTGTCAAGGTCTTCCGACAATTTCGTTTCATTGACAGGGGCAGGTAAAGGACAGAGATTTAAGCCTCTCGAGAGAAGAGATGTTTCAGCTTCCGTTAACTGGTGTTTGGAAAGATTGACAACAATGTTGGAGGGCGAATCAGTCTCTAGTGACCTACGTTTAAAGCGCCTTATTCGTTTTCTCTTTTTTTCAGATGGTAAAGAAGGATTGATATGTTCGATGCCATCCCTACGGAATTTTCTTTTCTGCCTTTCACTCAAATTTTGAGATTGTATGGTTGTTATGTCTTTAAAGCGAGCACTGATAGCATCACAATTGTCAGATGTGAGATCTTTTTTGCAGCTATTAAAAAGGGTGTTATTTTCGCCAGTAAGAGTTTTCAGATGTTCTTCGCAGTGTTGTTTGAGGAGGACCATTAACCGCTTGGAACAATGGTAGAGGGTTTGATCCCATTTGCGAAGTAATGTGTTGGATAAATTGCCAGATGTTTGTGGCATGAGCTTGATTTGTAGTCCGTTAGGAATACTTTCATTATACACATAATGGGTTAAATTAGATAAGTGGTGTTCAGTTCTAATTTGTTTTTGTTTAATAGCTCTTAGTTGTTTAAAATAATCATTGATGTTCATGATATAAGAGCTGAAAACTTAAATTCATTGGGATTATGTGAATAACATAATACAGGTCATTCAGAGGAAAAATAATATAGAAGTCTATAAAAAGGACCAAATTTACTATGTACCGGATCGTCTAGATATAAAAGGTTAACCAGGAAAGCGGTTTTTCGATGGAAGATTCAAGGAGTTGTTTTTCTAATTGTACATCATCCAAACGGCATCACTAAAAAATACTAAGTTTTATTTTTTACTCATTTTGGGATGTAAATATACACAGTCACATATATTTGAGTATTGAGTTTTGTTTTATATTATGATGTTCAGGATTTTGGATTAAATCAATAGACCAAAACTTACCTGTATTATTGAGCTATTTTTATACATATAATCAGTATTGTTAAAATAATTGACACTGAAGAAGGCTTTTTGTTAAGCCGAAATATTTGTCAACACGATTTATTAACAACATCTTCGTATAATACCATCTTATATTAGTATCGTTTTGCAAATCTCTAGACTTATATAATGTTTTCCTTATCTGCACAGTATCGTCTATTTTAGACGATCCGGTACATAGTAAATTTGCTGGTTGGTCCTTTTTATAGACTTCTATATATATATATATATATATATATATATATATATATATCTTGTTAGAGGGGTATAAATTCAGAACAAACAACATTTTCCAAAAGACCAAAAAAAAGTGAAAAAGTATATTTTAACAAAACGCATTTGACTAACAGGTCGAACAACAAATGTTCTTAAACCCTGCTGACTGCCATTAGCGATTGCCAAATAAACGGATCACCGATGTAATAAATGGATCTTAATTATAAATTTAATACTAAACAGAAAACAATAAACTTGCGGAAAAGATGGTATACCGCAACAAAAGGTGCAAGGGTTTTTGTACACCATATCCGGATTTCGACAATTAATGTCTCTTCGGTGATGTTAGGAATCGAAACGGTATTTGGAAAGCCATACAATTTACCTCAATTTAGGATAGACTCTTGAATTTTGAGGAGTCAAAATAGGATCAACGAATCATATAAACCTGAAGGCAAATATAATACAAGCCCAAATGAAAAAATATTAACAAGTCTAAATTGAAAACAACGTTCAAACCTATGATTGCGTTGGATAAAAACCGCAATTTTTATACGTGTGCATGGAAAACAAATTTCTTGTTAGAGGGGTATAAATTCAGCACAAACAACATTTTCCAAAAGACCGAAAAAAAGTGAAAAAGTATATTTTAACAAAACGCATTTGACTAACAGGTCGAACAACAAATGTTCTTAAACCCTGCTGACTGCCATTAGCGATTGCCAAATAAACGGATCACCGATGTAATAAATGGATCTTAATTATAAATTTAATACTAAACAGAAAACAATAAACTTGCACAAGATGGTATACCGCAAACAAAAGGTGCAAAGGTTTTTGTACACCATATCCGGATTTCGACAATTAATGTCTCTTCAGTGATGTTAGGAATCTACTTTTTCACATTTTTTTTTTGGTCTTTTGGAAAATGTTGTTTGTGCTGAATTTATACCCAACGCAATCATAGGTTTGAACGTTGTTTTCAATTTAGACTTGTTTATATTTTTTCGTTTGGGCTTGTATTATATTTGCCTTCGGGTTTACATGATCCGTTCATCCTATTTTGACTCCTCAAAATTCAAGAGTCTATCCTAAATTGAGATAAATTGTATGGCTTTCCAAATACCGTTTCGATTCCTAACATCACCGAAGAGACATTAATTGTCGAAATCCGGATATGGTGTACAAAAACCTTTGCACCTTTTGTTTGCGGTATACCATTTTTTCCGCAAGTTTATTGTTTTCTGTTAAGTATTAAATTTATAATTAAGATCCATTTATTACATCGGTGATCCGTTTATTTGGCAATCGCTAATGACAGTCAGCAGGGTTTAAGAACAAAACGCATTTGACTAGCAGGCCATATAATTTACCTCAATTTAGGATAGACTCTTGAATTTTGAAAGAGTCGAAATAGGATGAACGGATCATAAAAACCCAAAGGCAAATATAATACAAGCCCAAACGAAAAAATATAAACAAGTCTAAATTGAAAACAACGTTCAAACCTATGAGTGCGTTGGATAAAAACCGCAATTTTTATACGTGTGCATGCAAAACAAATTTCTTGGTAAGGGGTCTAAATACAGCACAAACAACATTTTCCAAAAGACCAAATGAGTGAAAAAGTATATTTTAACAAAACGCATTTGACTAGCAGGTCGAACAACTGATGTTCTTAAACCCTGCTGACTGCCATTGGCGATTGCCAAATAAACGGATCACAAGATGTAACAAAACAGATCTTATTATTAAACTATTACTAAACAGAAAACAATAAACTTGCGGAAAAGATGGTATACCGCAAACACGAGGTGCAAAAATTTGTACACCATATCCGGATTTCGACAATTAATGTCTCTTCAGTGATGTTAGGAATCGAAACGGTATTTGGAAGGCCATACAATTTACCTCAATTTAGGATAGACTCTTGAATTTTGAAAGAGTCGAAATAGGATGAACGGATCATAAAAACCCGAAGGCAAATATAATAAAAGCCCAAACGAAAAAATATAAACAAGTCTAAATTGAAAACAACGTTCAAACCTATGATTGCGTTGGATAAAAACCGCAATTTTTATACGTGTGCATGCAAAACAAATTTCTTGGTAGAGGGGTCTAAATACAGCACAAACAACATTTTCCAAAAGACCAAATGAGTGAAAAAGTATATTTTAACAAAACGCATTTGACTAGCAGGTCGAACAACTGATGTTCTTAAACCCTGCTGACTGCCATTGGCGATTGCCAAATAAACGGATCACAAGATGTAACAAAACAGATCTTATTAATAAACTATTACTAAACAGAAAACAATAAACTTGCGGAAAAGATGATATATATATATATATATATGGATAAATCCAAATGTAAGACTTGATGTTTTTTCAGTAGTTGTATATCTTATTCATTAATGTATGTTTTACAGAATCAGAAGATGATAGGTCTAATGCAGAAGGTAACCTTAATATGTTAAACAAACTATTATCATGTTGCTTTAAAATATAACATTGTGACCTGTGATATTATATAAGAAATCATTAAATTTTTCAATCTAAACGAGATATACAAAAGTAATAATTAGAAGCAGTTTGATTGTCATCTGAAAGTTTGCGTGTGACAATAGCGATACATGATGGTTTTTATTCCATTTTCTTTACATCATCCAGTTCCATAAAGCTATTCTGACTGTATGTATCAAAAGTCACACACAAAATAAAGCAATATTTGTAGTTCGTAATCCATTAAATGAACGCGGACTTTAACAAGGAAATAAAAAAACGACTTATAATTTGGAAAGGAAGGACAGAATGTTCTTTACAATACTAAAGTAATGTACTTGAGTATTGTAATGAATATTCTGCGAAATACATCGTTCTTAATCATATTGATACTAAACTAAATAATGAATTTCCATATAGCTACCAGTATTGCACCCATACACAACCAATTCATCTAAGCATTACGTTAGTACATCTTAATCTTAAATTACGTTGTTAGTTTCAAGAGTGCAGCTGAGTGAACATATGAACAATCAATAAACAACTAAACTATTAGAAAGTTGACTGCGGTGAAATTGTGATTAATTTCGATGATCCAATATTAAAGACATTTGGTTAACTAATATATGACGTAACTAATACATGACGTTCGACGTTGAAATCAATTGAATTTTCCCTATTCCTCTAGCTTATTTGGAATAAAGAAACACACAGCGATGTTCACCGTTTTAGACTTTGCGGGTTTGTATCAATCGCCTGTATACAAAGCAAATATCTCATAGGTGACAAGATAACCAAGGACTCGCGTCTCCAGTCTTGATGTACGTAGTAAAGGATTTCTGTTTTGCAAAAAAAAAAATGAACCAAGGGATCTAAATGCTTAAGTTGATGTTTTACCTTTGAAGTTTTACGGTCGTCGTCATAATTTGATTGACCGTTAACCAACATATTTGTCACAGATGATTACTGATATTTTCTCGATATTGACATCATAAAAACGATGTATTTGTACTAACGGTGAATAACACGGCATGTGAATGACAAAGTTCAATCATCCGTATAATGTTTAAAGTTGTTTGTCTTTTCCTCGTTTTCATTCTTGAAAACGAAGTTACAATTTTTTTTTTTATTTTTTTTTCATGTAGGGGATTTTAATTGCTTCCTTAGTAATCTAGTGATTCCACGTTTGAAGAATTTGACTGATAAAATAATACAGCCTATCATATTTTTCACAGAAAAAAGAATACACTTCATCAAATGGGATTCTGAATGTTACGGTCTTATATTTTTTGCCTTGTTGCAAACAAAATGCTGGGATGGAGCACTTCAGCTCTTGGAAAATGGATATGTAAGTGATGTGAAATACATCATCTACGCAATTATATTTTTTCATAGTTCAATATTTGTAAGACTTGAATCGGTAATGTCATTGGTAACTTCTCAATTGCCCTGTCTATTCAACTATGGAATAGAGAAAAGTTATTTATCATTTCTTTATGAAACCAAAGGTAAGTTTCTATTCATTTATCTTGATTACAATGGAGGAATCGTTAAGCTTGCTATAACGTAAGCTGTCTTCAAAAAAAATTACACATAGTGGTTTTAAATTTCAAATTTAATCTTCTGCTGTTTTGCATAATTTTCGAGTCATTCTAATAATTTGTGTCGTATATTATTCAGCGTTCAAATATATGTTTATCTTTCTGTATCTTCTTTTAAATATTTAAGTTGTTGGACAAAACCAGGTTATGGACTGATGTGCACTTACATTCCCTATTTTAGAGAAACGTGGAAATACCTTCAGACTATTTCAAAAATTCTTTGTTTTTACATTTTTTACATTGATCCAAAATTCTTTTGTTCACCACTACTCTGAAACTACACATCATTTCTGCTTTGAAAACAGAAAATGTGGTGTATATCTATAATAACAAAGATTTTTAAGCTATCACGCAAAAACTTTCTGAGAGGATACACTATTCAATAACATATAATTCGCTGTCAGGTCGGTTTATTTCGCTGAAAAAATCATGGCAAAAAATTCGTTTATGTGTATCTGATAAACAAATTGAAGACATCCGACGCTGGAGTTATTAACTAACACTATTTAGAGCAATATCTACTTATTTTGAAATCAAGTTTACTTCATGATCATAATATGTATCTGATATCAAAGCGAATAACAATCACATTAAATTTGTTTAAATTTAGTGGCGGATGAAGATATTTGGAGGACGTTTTTTGAAAAAAAATAATCGGCATTCCAATGTGAACAAACTGTTAGTATTTTGGTTGTTTTGATTGGTTGTTAATCGTTTTACTGCTTTCTAACAGATTTTTTTTCTGGTTGCATATGAACATAAAGTTTGTGAAATCATTGTTTGATAAATTTTGAATTCAATACAAAAGAAGACGTTTCCTGATTTATTTTATGTACATGTGATAACTGTAACAAATACAAACAATGTAAATAAACGTGATGAATTCACAACTGAACCATAATTTTACCAAAGTAATATATAAGAAGATACTATTTAGCCTTGATTTTAGTTTAATTCCATGTGTAGTTATTGGAAATAAGTATATGACAAGGGATTTTGGATTATAGCCAACAACACATGTTTCCTTTTTATCAACCTATTGGTGATAATATATAAGATACAAATAACTGTTACACTATAATATTTAAAGGTTGTTAAATGTGAGGTATATTTAGTCGAGTACATATTTGTTGTGTATGTATATTTGATTTTTTTTTTAAATTGCGCCTAGTATTCTGATTTTTTTTAAATTTTCAATAGGATACTTTCTTATATGGTATTGTCTGTTAATTTTACCTAATATTTCCAGAAATAAATATAACTGTAACATGCATTATAATTGTGCTTTGGCATGATTCATACTCGATAAAAGGTTATATTTTTTACCTTTTTTTTTATTCAGATTGGTATTCATCATATCCTTGTCGGATGTGTCATATTAAAAGACGAATTCAACAATGGGAAAACAGAGAAACTCTTGAAGGAAAAACTGAAGCGTTTAGAAAAGTAATTTTTTGCAGAAAGATAACTTAATTAAAACAATTTGGTGATAATCATGAAGAGACATATGCTGCTTACGTTTCAGATACGGCTAGTATTTCACTACAACATCAAATTTTGCACTACAACATCAAATTTTGTAATCAGATATGCATTATATTATAATAGGATTCCATGTAACAGAAAAAAAAATGGTCAATGAAGTGCTACAGATTAAATGGCTTTTGTCTTTCTTTTTTAGGCTTTTTTCAGCATTTAAAAGCTTGTAAAATTATATAAAGAAAGCATTGACAACATTGATAGTACTGATTTGGTCGTTTTTTTTACCAATTAACGTTTCATAGTTTTTTCTTGGGACCTTACCTTAGATTTCAAACAATGAACACACAGCCATTGAGTATATACAAATTTAAAATGATGTGCAACTGAAGTCAACTGAAACTATTAATATGTCGATATTTATATCAATTTTTGAATAGCAAAGCTTATCAAAGACTTCCCATTCTTGTGATTTTAAATAGGTTTATTACATGTATCATTGAATTGTTATAGTATGTTTACACATATGATAATTATCATATCAAATAATTTGTCATTTGAATTTTTTATTATTCTAATTATATATTTCTTTTTTTTTAATGTTATTTAAATTATAAATTTTCAAAGAGCATTAACTGATAAAGCAATCAGCATTACGAGCTACATCTATGAGGCTGATAAGCAAAACAGAAAAGAAAATAAGGAACATGAAGTTGGTTTCAAGTGTGGAAAACTACCATGTGGTTTCAAGTGTGGAAAACTACGATGTACGGACAAGAATGAAGAAAAAATGTTGAATCATGCTGAAAGGCTACTTTTGAATCATGGATATTTAAGGGATGCTATTAATACCGAAAACAATTCTTACCTTGAAAGTGATACAGTGAGGAAGATCCTTAGGAAAACATTTTATGGTACAGAAGAGGTACATCAGCAGACGGTAAGCCAAAAAAACTTAATACGAATTGTTTTCTCTGATTCAGGTGTCGCGCTCGTTATAATATGGATATAAAAAGGTTACCAAAGAACCGTGTTAAATGACAAATTCAAAGTTAAAAACACATAAGCTCAAACCAAACTTAAAAATATACTTACACCTTCGCACACCATGCATTATAAATTAACTTCATTTTCAAAATGACTATCTAATACACCGTTTTTGTTAGCGTCGTTGTTAGATTCATTTTTATATTTCCATATTTTTTGTTTTGTTTGTCTGTGATGTATGTCTACACAGTTTTATATAATTAGCTGCTGGATCATAATTGTTGTCAAAGTAAGCTATTCTGTCTGTTTGGCTTGCTAACCTTATTTTGTCAATATGACAGAACATATAAACAACTGTCATACAAGTGGGAGGTTAAGCTAGCTTTAAACCAGATATAACCCAGGATGTTCCGAAGAAAATTAGTGTACCAAGTCTAAAATATGGCAGCTGATTTTTCACTTGTTCCGTTGATCGATTTTGTCAGGTGTTTTTGTCATGGACTTTCCCCTTTTGAATTTGCATTGGAGTTTGGTATTTTTAAAAGACTTTTTTATAAACTTTATCTTACTTTACCTGTCTAAGAGCTAAAGAATAAAAAAAATATAATACCGAACTCCAAGAACACTTCTTTGCTAACAGGCAAAATTAATAGCTCATACATACCAAACAAATGGAAAACAATTGTCATAATCTTGATTTTAAAGAACATCAACGGAAATCCTTTTCATAGAAAAATGCAGGCAAAAAAAACTTAAATTTACCAATGTATGTTTACGGTAACCTCAAAGAGCTTAGCATTCAAACAAAATAAACAAGACTTACATGTACAATTTGCACATATTTCAATATAAAACAGAAAAATTAAACAAGTGTATAGGTATAAAAAGTCCTTTACTTCTTAAAAGGAGAAAAGTTAGTGTAATGAAACGATTAAAGAACTGCGATAAAAGATATACTTTCCTTATTAAAAATTTCAAACAAAACTGAAAATAGTTTTGGTTTAAGATTAAAACGGGGGGAAAATCGTCAAATATACCCAGCTTATAATCTGTTTTACCAGAAGCACGTTTAGTTTTCATACCTTTCATCAATGGCTCTCGAATATAAAAAAAAAGTTGTAGAGCATGTTCAAAAATTGTGCCACATATGGCTAAGACCACCTGTGCCTGGGGTAGAACAATATTAGTGTTTCTAGTAGTTGAAAGTATATACACAGACACTTTGTGGAATAATTCATGACTGACTACTAAGCTCATGATACCATCGGGGACGATACGTTCAAAAGCAAAGGCATCGATCAATTGGTTGTAAAAACTCATGAAACTTATACAATGAACTCGGCAATTGTAAGCAATTAAAAGCTAGCAACATAATTATCAATGTGTGTAGCTTAAAAGAATTTCATGTTCTTGTTTTAGCTATGGCGTTGTCAGTTTATTTTCGACTTATGAGTTTGAATGTCCGTTCGGCATGTTTGTAATCCTTCGCCTCTCTTTTAATTCTGTTCATTTATAAACAACAATGACGATGCCTGAACATTTACTGGATATTCATCAGTACATTTCATGTTATTTCATTTAATATGTCTTTCATATTCTTTTTTTAGACTTTATGCATTATAGTACTAGCGGCAGTCCACATGATTGCGTTGCCTCTTTTAATGATTAACATGGAGGCACGACCGTTACGCTGGTAAGACATTTGGTTGTTTTCATACTTATTTAACTTAATACATAATAAAGAGTGTACTGTTACGTCACTACCAAAATGTATTGTCTAAAAGTAGATATTTGTTTAACATGTACAATATATTAAATCTTATCATTATTGTTGTATTCAACTCCTTAAGATTTATTTCACAAAATCGGTTGTCACAGCTTGGGATCAAAAAAGGGGGACGAAAGATACCAGAGGGACAGTCAAACTCATAGATCGAAAGTGACAACGCCATGGCCAAAAATAAAAAGACAAACAGACAAATAATAGTACAGATGACACAACATAGAAAACTAAAGACTAAGCAACACGAACCCCACCAAAAACTGGGGGTGATCTCAGGTGCTCCGGAAGAGTAAGCAGATCCTGCTCCACATGTGGCACCCGTCGTGTTGCTTATGTAATTACAAATCCGGTAAATAGTCTAATTCGTTAAGTCACATTCGTGAAAAGGGAAGGGTATTGTAGTTACGACATAAGGAACATATCCGATATCATTTGTGAAACGGTTATTCCATAACGGTCAACCAACTCGTGATGGCGTCCGTAAAATTTACGAAGGGATGATTTCAACTTCACCATTTAGAACTCTTGGCTTAATAGCTTCCTTGTGAGCAGCAATCCTCTATCAAGGAAATCATGATAGGAAACACAAGCCCGGGAATATCGTATCAATTGGGAGATATATACTCCGTATGCAGGCGCTGCTGGAATGTTGCTACATAGAAATGGAAAGTTAACAATTGGGAAGCTGAAATCATCTCTTTTGTCGTAAACTTGCTCTACTTTTGGTTGCTATATTTTTTTTGTGTTTGTAAGACCCTTTATATATTTGGATGCCACAATGACTTTGTGACTATTTCGTAGTGACTTGCTGCAGGCAAACACAAATTTCTTTCTTTACGAAAGCGTTTAGTCATTTAAGTTCATTTTTCCGACCTTTTATTCCTTTTTCAATGAATTAAACCAATTATATTGAACATGCTTGAAATTAAATAAAAGAGGAACTTGATTTAAAAATACATCACCTGTAAATAATTTTTGTCATAATTGCAATCATATACTAGTATATATCAGAGTCTCCATAATTATGATTTTCTCTTTTTAAAAAGTAAAAGGAAGCAAGTGTCAATGTATATACCCAAAGAGAACTGGTTTCAAATTAAAAAGATCTAATCAATGTTGGAAGAACATAAAAAGTGTCATACTGATCCTAAGTTCAAATTTGACACAACTTGTCTCTTACTACAAAGGTTTTTCCTAATATCGTACACCGTTAATTTCTCATAGTACTTGTTTACGCGCAGGATCGGTATTCTGGGCTTACAAGTTTTGAAATCGCTGCTGCGCGAGACAACTATGATATTTTAAACTTGAAACTAAAAAGGGCTGATAGTTTGAATTTTTTATAACCATTTGCATATATGACTAAGAGACATTAAACACCATCTCGGATTCTATGTTAATAAAACAAGTACAAATATGGTATGCCTTGATCAAACTAGAACAAACTTATCATTGTTAAAAGAATAAGTAAAGGTATGCTATTTGAAAATATATGATTTCTTTTCCAGATTTATAGGACCATTAAGCGTATTCAAAACAATAGTATAGATATATGATTAAGAATATCATCATGATTTTTCGTTTACTGTAGTGACATCACATGACTTACGATTATCTGCCCTCAACACAATTGTACATGTTATTCGTGCAACGATTGCAATGTAAATAGGACAGGCGTATGATGTACTCCCGGTGTAGCTATTAATTTCAATCAATATTCACGACTATAATTAGGTTATTGTATTCATATATACTGTGTGTTCTGTTGACGGGGTTGTATTTATGCAGCCGTGGCAACAAAATCTACGTCGGATAATGTATGTTAATATGTAGATATAAATAAACAGTTTGTGTTTAGTTGCTAAGTGATTATAAAACAGTTTTTTTTTCTTTAAATCTATACGGTCAGTGTTTATCTACGTTTTCAAGTTGGTGTTGGTTGAGTTCGAATCTTAAACTAGAGTCATTGTCTTTAAGTTTGTTTGGGTGGTTATATTTTGTTGGCAATATTGTTTAAGTCTTTCTGCTAATAATAGTTACATACTATCTCTGCTTTTCCATTGATTTCCATTTAAATTTAATTGACAGTGCGTTTGTATCTTTTTGAGATTAAACCTACTATACCTGTATAAAAAAATTGAAGTTATCAAAACAACAAGAGTCATGTAGTTTATTTCATTACATTTTTAAATTGTCGTTTTGAAGAACAAAAGTCTTTAAAAATTTCAGGTTTTACAAGAAGTATGAGTTGCATTACATGAAAGTATATATACATATGGTAAGCTATTTTATGTTTGACATCTTCTATTATTTTCAACTAAAACGTGTAACCCTAATAATGTAAATGTGAATTGAACAAATCAATTATTGTAATGAAACTACACCATGTGTTTATGTGGTTACGACAAACACTAACTACAGGTGAAATGCAACGGTAGTAATAGGCAATCACAAGTGCTATACATATATGTCTACTAAAATCAACAATAAACTAACAAGACACCAGCGTATAACCTTTAAATAGTTCTTTAAGGAATGACTGTAATATTTTTTCTGTCTATGAAGAAATAACATCAAAAATGTGGTGCACACTGAATAACCTGCGTAGCGGGTTATTTTAACGTGTGCACCACATTTTTTTATGTTATTTCGAATAGACAGAAAAAATATTACAGTCATTTCTTATAATTTAATTCTAAATTCCATTTTAAACCGGAGTAAACCATGAAAAAACGTTGATGACGTCACGGTCACATGACAAAATTATGTCTATGAGCTGATAAACAAAACAACGTCAGCCAATCAGAAGACGCGTTACATCCAAAATTAAATTATATTGTTATAACCAATCAAACCACATTGAAGCTTCAGGATAATTATTATTACAAAAATGTTTTAAAAATAAATCACAATGGTACCTTATCTGAAACATATGGGCATAACTCATAAATTGAAAAGAAGTGTATTGTTGTATCAAATACCTTCAGAAGCTACATTTGTAGATACGTAATACGCGTAAGATAATTAAAACATTGTCTATACACTAAATATGTATTTTGTCAATTTAACTGTTGTTTTTATTAATGCAACAGCTTGGATTCTTAACTCTCCTTATTGCATACGGAAACATGTTGCTATTTGACTACAGAGTTGATGGTATCACCTACACTGACTATTTCATCATGTTGTGGATGGCAAGCTTTTTTGTGGATGAAACCAATCAGGTGAAACATGTTGGACTATTATATTCTGTTGTAAATCGGAAAAATCTCATATTCATATATTTAATTAACCCTTTATTTGAAATAAAGATATTGATTTACAAGAAACTTATTATTGACTATCACCCGTACAAAATGTAAATTTATTTGAACCAGATTTGATAAATAAATATTACTGTCGATTCATTTATTTTCGTGGGTAACACTTCCGTTGCTTAAGGGATGTTTTGTTGTTGATATTTGATGGAGTGGTTCTGTCAAAGTCTGTATGCAAGGCAAAAAAAAAATGTATCCATCGGATTTTAATTTCTTGAGTAGTAAAAAATTATAGCCTCAATATGTCAGCAAAATCGATGAAAATTTGTATCCAGGGAATATATAGCATTTCTCAGCAAGTATTCAAAGATATTTCACAAACAACAACCAAATAAACATAAATATTCAACGACAATTACTTTCTGAACTTCTTAATTTGGACTTATTTTACCATCACAAATTGGCTTACCGATTCCATGTGTTGTTGTCTTAATCACAGTAGACGTGTCTTCACGGTCTCAGATCTTCGAATACCCGACTGAGTATAATCGGCTGGTCTGTAATTTTACTAATTGTGTTCTGTTCCCAATTTTAACATTTTGATTGTCATTGAGGGATCATGGCGAATGATTCATGCACACCAGAGGACGCTAGCATTGTTGACTAACCCGTTACCGCGCCTTCAGGAGTTCAAACGATTGCCTCAGTATTTGCTTCGTACACTGGCTTGTCCCTTTTTAATCAAATTACGATATTTGAATAGCGGTGAAACATTGTTTCCTCAATGTATATGTTATACATATAACATGTTATATCTTTCTTAACGAAGCCGATGAAATTAACATGTATCTTAAAAGTTTTATAACTTTGATGGGTAATAACCCAATAGTACATTTTATAGCTTTCCAATAAGACTCATAACTATTTTGCTTCAGATCATTGTTGCTGTTATCAGAGGTAAATGGAAAAGCTATTCTATTGATTGGTGGAACCTTTTAGATTGGTTAATGATTACACTATTTACGACAGGGATGCTACTGAAAACCGGCGAAGGATCCGGTTTTCAGATTACGTCAAAATTGTTTTTAGTTGTAACATTTACAGCCCTATGCACACGACTACTACATTTGACCTGTATGACAGAGTTTCTAGGACGAAAGTTAGTCATCAATCGGAAAATGGTATGTAATATTTCACTACACACTACATCAAATCAACCCTAGATCAGAGAGCAATATTTGTTTCAATTTGTTATAATGCATTTCATCAAATAATAAATATGTTCAAGGGCATTACACTTTTGAAAATAGGCACTGATTTAAAACTTGGAAGATAGATTGCGTTTCTAAACCTAAGATATGAGATTGGTTAAAATGTGAAACTAATTGCACACGCAAGAGTGCTTACAATGCAATTTTCCATATAATTATTACTCTTTTGTCACATAACTCTTTTTAGTTGATTGGCACAGATTTTCGAACTTTGATATAAGTATGATTACAATCTGGTTTGAATTGTACCCGTGAGACCGCTAACGAAAGAGAGCCGAACAATACCAAAAGGACATTCAAATTCATAAGTCGAAAATAAACTTACAACGCCATGGCTAAAAAAGAAAAAGACAAACCGACAAACAACATTACACAAAATACAACATAGATAACTAAAGAATGAGTCACAAGAACCCCACAAAAAACTAATGGTTATCTCAGATGCTCCGGGAGGTTAAGAAAATCCTGTTTCACATATGGCACCCATCGTGTTGCTCATGGAAGTATTAAGCCGTGATACGTCTTCTTCGTTGGGTCACGTTCGGGAAAAAGGGGACATGTAATTTTGCATTTCAATTAATATTATATGCCATAATGTGTTTTTAAATTGTTGATCGCCTCTGATTTTCGATCTTATACGAGACATTGCTATTTTGAACCTTTGAAAAAGTTTGACGAACATTAAAAAAGACACAAGTACACGTGAGAGCACTTACTATGCAATTTTGCATACAGTTTAGGATATTTACAAGGGTATTCCTCTTTTAAAAGTAGTTGATCAACTGATTTTCGAACTTGTCTAATATAAGTTTCATAAACATTTGGCAAGAATTGTTCACGTGAGAGCGCTAATAAGATCGGGCGGACGCCCGGCATTATTAAGTCATAAGCAACGCATCGTGTGGGGGACAAAAAATACAGAAAACGAGAACAAGTGGACAGCAAAATTCTTTTGACTTATATGTAGTCATATCGTTGGTTGATATAATCTTTTATAAAGGATATCCGATCCTATTAAAGGACATTGATTATCAATTTAACGAACATTTGTTTTGTCTATTTATTGTTTGTTCTCCTGATCAATCTGAATATACACTGAACACATTTTTATTGACTGCAAGTACATTGTCTGAAATGTACTGAATTTACTGCAGTGGATAAGTCTGTAAATTGGCTTGAAGATTAAAAGTGACGTGATAAATGTTTGGATGGTCTTTAAAGTGTTGTTCTGATCACTATTACCGTGTCAGATCAACAATGTTTTTCTAGTGAGCTATTGTCTAACATATCGTTGATACTCACTCAACACAGAACAACTCTATGTGATGCAATATTGAAATACGGGAAATCCGATACATATGCAAGGTGTTTTAGTCTTCATACTTCCGGACCACGAAATAATAGGAAGAGTATATGCATTTCAGTTTTTTATTGCACTGTTTCAATTTTCAGATAAAAGATACTTCTGCCTTCATGATAATTATTACAATTATTATGTTGTGGTACAGCGTTTCATTTTATGCACTTTTATATCCGAACTCCGAGTTCAGCTGGAAACAAATGGAAAAAATTCTCAGAAATGGTTATTGGATGTTATTTGGAGACCTGAATATTGATGGTGAGAATTGAATTAAAGTTTACATGATAATTCTACTTTTCACAAAAATAATTGTAACCGACAATCTAAATTAATAACCGTAAAATAAGGCATTGTAATTAAAGAATCGGTTTTTTTTTCAAGCAACGAAAACTGGTACCCACGAAAATGATATGATAACCAGAATTCCTTGTCATTCTACAGTACATGCATGTTTTTTAGATTTTATCTTCTTGACGACATGGAAATAACTAATCAAATTACTTAAAAATTAAATGCACCGATCATTTTTTTATATAACTTTTGACCAATTTATAATAATGACCTCTCAAAGAAAGTTTTTAAATCTACTCTAAAATTAAAAATCTAGTATGACACACAACCAATAGACATGATAGAGGCAGATTTTCTTAATTTTGAATTTGTTTTTGAAATGAAGATTCGTAAATACCGGAGGGTAAAAGGTATACAAAAACAACATTTTATAAAAAAGCATATTTCTATGAATTATTTTTAAGTAATTTTGATTGGGGCAGAAATCCAGAGTACTGACGCATTTATCGGAAAGTAATGAAAATTTCCTCAATTGCAATTTATGAAAACGCATCTCACATCTCACAATAGTCATGACAACACAAAATGTACTACACATTACCTGATCTGTGATTTCTTTACTTCTTGTCTTTAATTTCGATACTTTAATACTCTGGGTTCTAGGACGTCACTATGTGTCCTTTAATGTTATAGCTCGCAAATTGTTCTCTAGAATAATCGACGTCTGACATAATCAAATACGTCTGAAAAATGAACCTGTATGGAATAATTCATTGCAGTTTTTTTTAAAGAAGTATTCAATTACTTAGTTTTATTCACCGCATATAATATTAGGGGATATTATATCTGTGTTTGCGTGCGTCCGTCCGTTCCCCTATCACGAACTGGATTTGTACCTTTTAAAATCACCTTTCATCACTACAAAATTCAAAAAGTCTGAAAAGACCAGTTTTTGTCTGAATTTGCATGAATTTTTACTCGACATTCTTAATTTGTCTGAATCATTTTTAAAAATTCTTGACATAGTATGAATTTGTCTAATAAGGTTCTTGATTTTTCTTGACAAGTGTCTTGACAGTATGAACATTGTCTTAAAATTTCTCGACACTTCCTGTATCATCTGATAAGAGTCTGGATTAGTCTCGACCAATTCTTGACTGTCTTAAATTTGTCTCGATCTGTCTTGACATATTCTTGACATTCTTAATAATGTCTGAATATGTCTCGACATATTCTTGACATTCTAAATAATGTCTGAATATGTCTCGACACATTCTTGACAGTCTTAAATATGTCTTGACACTATCTCAACAGTATAAATTTCGCCAGAAATGTGAACAGACTTATTCTGCACTGTTTATGACATTCTATTGCTGTTATATACTCCTTTTTATTATGGCTAAACTAAACTTTGAAGAATCAAGGATTAATTTGGTATATATAGTAAGATACCCTTTTGGTGCAACTAAGTTGTAATACCCTGAATAATCCCCCATGTAGTTTTATTTTGATTTATTTTTATTAAACATTTAAGTAATTGTTTTCACTTGGAAAATAAGTAGAAGGTATTGACAAACAGCATTTAGATTTTTGCCGTTCGCAAAACTGCCAGTCAAATTTGCTTTACTAAAATAGGTGTCTTGTATCTCTTTTGGACCCCACAATTCATCTTTTGGGTTTGTGTAGCTAAAAAAAGAGGGGGGGGGGGGGGGGGCTTTCGTTTAGGTCAAAGAATTTGTTCCCATCTTGATTCAAAAATTTTATTCATTTTTTAGAACAACCCAAAAACATTTTTTATTCAAATTTGAGTGTTGAATTTTATTATAATTTTTTATCAAAAATAAATATAAATAAATAATAAAAAAAACTCCTTCCTGAAAAGAAAAAAATGTTTAGATCTATATTATGCATGTCTGTTTGAGAACCATTTCTATAGAAATCATTGATGGGACCCATTATAAATACATTTTTTTTATTATTCCTGGAGTAGATAATAATTTTCTTTTAATCTTTGGGAATTATTCAATTTGTTTTTATGTTAAAATAATTAACTTCATAATTTTGATGAAGAAAATCCATTTCAATTCAATTTTTTGTCATCAAAATGATGATTTTCATTTTCATCTATCAACAAACTTTTGTAGTGGCATGGTCGGTCAACTGATAAGTTGTATGGCTGATTACAGGTAAAGCAATAACTTCTATTTGACAGTTGCGTGTACTCTGGGGTGTGGAATACCTTAATTTTATGGGGAACATCCTGTCCATGTGTAATACTTAATATATTCCAACAGATGACATTACACAAATTTTTCTTCTGTTAAATGAATAATTTGTATATCATCATAATTTGCTATTTATATAAACCACATTTTGGTATAATAATTATTTACCATATCAACATTGAATATTATGAATGTAGAATGAAATATGTCTACAGTATGATTGGTTTGAATCATTTAATTTATAAGATTTAGGAATCAAAATTTGTAATTATTTAAAAACCCACATTGAAATTGTTTTATATCAACACAACCACATTTGAATTATTTTATACTTTAGATTTCATAGCCATATTTGCATTTGTAAAAATATTTATATACCCAAATTTTTAATTATTTTACATGCCCAACTTTTATTTTTTGTTGTAAAGAAGTGTAACTTGAAACAACAGTATATCATATAAAGAGAAATAAAGATTAAAGTTATATCATGAATATTGGTCATGATTTGTAAAACTCAGAACTGTCAAGTAAATTTAAGACACGATTCAAAATGTTCAGAATATGTCAAGCCATACTGAGAAAAAATAAGAATGTTGAGAATATGTCGAGAAATTTCAAGACAGCATTCAAATGTCAAGAATTTGTCAAGAAATTTTAAGACCATATTCAGAATGTCGAGAATATGTCGAGTAAATTTCATACAAATTTAATATAAATGATAATTTGTCAAGAAAAATTAAGACACAAGTCATACTTTTGGAGAATGTCGAGTAAAAGTTCATGCAAATTAAGACAAAAACTGGTCTTTTCAGACTTTTAGACTTTTGTAGTGCATATTAGTGTTTTGAGCCAGATTTGGTGGTTCACTGAAAATGGAACTATGAAACTGTGAGCGGATGCACGTATGATATTTATGGTCACATATTTCAATCTGATTAAAAAACAGATGCTTTGTTCAAGCTTTCTTGAAAACGCTCCATTCTACTTTTTTCTCTTTTAAAGACTCTGGTTTTGTCGGATTACTACACACCTTCACAAATATGAAGGCTGATCTTGCATAGGGTGCTGTCAAAATCACCAGAACAGCAACTAAAATGGAGTGTTGCAATATCTTAAACAGATTGACATATATTTATGACTCTTATGTTTGAAAATTCTTGTACATTGTATGTGTATCTTTATTATTTCTTATTTAGCGACTTTAAACATTATGCTTGCAAGTTATTTATACCATAAATACAAACTACATATGTACTGCTTTACAATAATGAATACTTATGGTGATCTTATCATTGATACCAGGATTAAAATCTTTGGTGAGTAAAGAAACGTCTTAATCTTGAAACTACATTTTGCTTAGAAAATCTACTCAAGGCTGAACGGATGTTATTATTGTTTTGTTTCGATAAAAATATGTTAATTGACGACCTCACGATTTTATGAAGTTTTACAAGCAACAAGAACATAGAACCTGCATGCTAATGGTAACACAAGTATATTTTACACTTTAAATAATTTCGATAAAAGAAACTAAATATCCGGAAGATATATTTAAAAACACATGTCACAGTTTTCATTTAGAAGAAAAACCGACATGGCTAATTAGTACAAATAATTACACCGTTTCTAACGTAATTCTATATTAATATTCTTGTAATGGTTAGAAAATACATAAAATAACACCATTACAAACTTAATCCCAATTTCATATTCTATTTTTAGAAATGTACATGTGACGCTACTTTTTTTGGCATTGATACTTTCGTGTGACGCACAGTTCATAATTCTATTGTGGTGAGCTGTGTATGGAAGGTGTCCGATATTATTCTGTGGTTTACATGTTTTAATGTACTAGTATATCATTTATGTATGTATTTCTCTGTCCTAGGTGTTCTTTCGTTTATTTCTACTGTACTCCTGTCGCGTAATGTCATTTTAGCGGCAATTCTAACACTGCCATATACTAGTAAGCGGGAGGTTCGGCTAGCCATAAAACCAGGTTCAACCCATCATGTTTTTCTTAAAATGTTCTGTAGCAAGTCAGGAGTATGGCAGCTGTTATCAAATAGTCCGTTTCAATGTATGTTGGCGTTTGTTTTAGTAGCAGATCGGTGTTTCTGTTGTTCCCTTGTTCTCCTGTTATAGTTGACGTGCTTCCCTCGATTTTGGTTTGTGAATCGGATTTGTTTTTGCTTAATCGATTTATGACTATTGAACAGCGGTATACTACTGTTGCTTTTTTTTCGTACTCCATATTGGTCTTTTTTTTCAAATGGATTTGATTTTTGATACTAAGATTTCAGCTTTTTTTATTTATTTTCGGTTTGAATAGAGTTCCATAATTAGTATGTTTTAGTATAACCAGTTGCATGTAGATCTTTTGCACAGTATTTAAAAAACAACGAAAAGACAAAATTAAGCATGCCGTTGTAGCTACATTGTGTATCGAAATTTTACTACCTTTTTTGTATATGGTCCTATCTTACTCCTCGTTGTTTCGTTTTGCCATATTTTTTTAAAGAAAAATCAGAAGGGTCGTTTTTCTATACGAATTGTTACATATTTTGTCATAGCTGGCCATTTTATAAGCGACTATACGGTATGAGTTTTGTTAACTATTGAAATCAATCCCGATACCTTAATTTTTTATTTTACGTTTCTTTGATTTCTGGAAGAGATCCGTGTCATTTTCACATCAGCAGTTTTCTCACCATATCTGTTTTTTCTTTTTTTTTTTTTTTTTTTTTTATTCTGAATGAACTTTTATTTATACACTTATTCTTATTTGTTATATTCTTATTTCATGTTCATATATTTCAGCGACTGACCTGGAATGTACAAACAATAAAACACTTTACGAAAGGGGTGTTATACAACGTTGTCCTTCAGACCTTGGTGTATACGTTACACCTTACTTAAAGGCGTTCTATGGGCTGCTAGCAGTGGTATTACTGCTAAATTTACTTATAGCTATGTACAGGTAAAAAAAAATGTGATAAGATTTTCAATTCATTAGAATATCAAATCAGCTAAAAACAATGTTAATCAAATTCGATTGTAATAAATCTAAAGGGAAACTGACAGGACGAAAGGAACTACATATCTGTATAAATATATAATTTTCACTATTTCTACATTAAATAAGCAATGGGACGCTTTAAACTCAAAATTTGAAGGGACACACGATAAACATGATCGATTGTCATTTGTTTTAAATGGTACTGCCGTTTGAGATTTATGTTTCCTTTTTCATTTCAAACTTTCTCTTTGGTCTCCAGAGTTATCATGTCAACTAATCTACTTGTTATTTAAGCTACATATCAGAAGAGTCAGATGGTATTAAAAGAAGATTTGTAAAGCCTTCTTTCGTTGTTTTTTGGTATTCACATTTTAGGTGTCAGACCACCAATTCACTCCCTACAATTTAGAACGTATGTAAAAGTAGCCCTACTCTGACACAAAATAGTGCTTTTGATGTCATTGTTTACTTAAAATACCCAACAAATTTGCAGAAATGAAAATTTTGGTGAAAGAGAAATATATTTAGACCATTTTGAGCCAAAATGTAATTGTCTATGAGTTTACATTAAAAATTGAACATTAATGCGCTCTATATAAAAAAACAGATGTGGTGTGATTGCCAAAGAGACAACTCTGCACAAGAGACCAAATGACACAGAAATTTACAACTATTGGTCACCGTACGGCCTTCAACAATGAGCAAAGCCCATACCGCATTGTAAGCTATAAAAGGCCCCGACATGACAAATGTAAAACAATTCAAACGAGAAAACTAACGGCCTAATTTATGTAAAAAAAAGTGAACGAAAAACAAATATGTAACACAGCAACAAACGACAACCACTAAATTACAGGCTCCTTACTTGGGACAGGCACATACATACAGAATGTGGTATACTAATTTAAGATTTTCAGAAAACCAGGAGTTATTTTTAGTAGTACTTGTCTTCCAAAAGGCAGTTCTTTCTAAGAAGACTTTAAACATGGGTTGAAAATTGGCATGTAGAAAGGTGAACTATGTACAATTCAGAATATACCTGGTTTCTATGAAGTTAAACTTAAGGTAAAATATTAAGAAAGCTGTGAAAATTGCAAAATTTAGTTGAACAGATAGGTTTTGAATTTGTGGTTTGACACCTTTAAGCTAAAAGCGTCGAAACCAAAAACTCAGAAAACAATTGATTTTTTTTTTTTTTTTGGTCTTAATTAAACATTTGAAATGCAAGTAGCCACATTTTAACCTTTTTTTTGGTTAAAAAGTCACATTTGCAAAATTTGAGCCTTAAACCTGAATTTGTGCTATTTTTAGCTTTTCCCACCCTTACAATATGCATTCATATAAAAAAATGTCTGAAATTGTTATGAATGCAGTTAGTTGTTATTGTAATATTTAACATTAAAATATAGGTTGATTACTACAAAACAAAATTGTCTCTATGAAGATTTTATGAAATTATTTGATTTTTAACCGGTTATATCATTGCGTCATTCCATGTATATGGCAGATAGCATAGCATAACTTAAACACTGCATAAACTCACCCCAATCCCATAAATTGTCTCAAATGAAAGTTTTCTACCTAAAATTTTATTGACTAATAGTAAATAAAACTGTTTTATGACCATAACTGCATTTTATTGATCAAAATTATTTGACACTCCAATACCTTTAATTTTTTTACTGAACTCATTGCTACTAGTATGTGTTTCTTTAATCTACATTGGCTAGAGGTATAGGGGGAGGGTTGAGGTCTCACAAAACATGTTTAACCCAGCCGCATTTTTGCGCCTGTCCCAAGTCAGGAGCCTCTTGCTTTTGTTAGTCTTGTATGTTTTTTTTAATTTTAGTTCATTTATATGTTTTGGAGTTAAGTGTGACGTCCATTTTCACTGAACTAGTACACAATTTTATTGAGGGGCCAGCTGAGGACCACCTCCGGGTGCGGGATTTTCTCGCTGCGTTGAAGACCCATTGGTGGCCTTTGGCTGTTGTCTGCTCTTTGGTCGGGTTGTTGTCTCTTTGACATATTCCCCATTTCCATTCTCAATTTTATCATTGTTAAAGTTGTGCAAATTCTTTAAAGCAGTAGGACAAACAAGGAAAAATCAACCAAACTTGATCTTGATATTGAAAGTTTATGTTCCTGTAGGCTGAGATTAAATTTCAGTCATTTTTTACTAAAGTCATACATTACAGTCAGTTTAAATTGAGCTGTGAATTTTGCAATACAAGTCGCATTATGCTCAAATAGAATTTTTTGTTTACTACAAATTAACAAAAGATTAAGAATAAAGCAAAACAAAAGACTTCTGATAAACGTTTTTGTATCTTTAGGTGTCAGACCACCAATTCATTCCCTCCAATTTAGAACGTATGTAAAAGTAGCCTTACTCTGACACAAAATAGTGCTTTTGATGTGATTGTTGACTTAAACTAACCAACAAATTTGCAGAAATGAAACTTTTGGTGAAAGAGAAAGATATTTAGACCATTTTGAGCCAAAATTTAATTCTCAATGAGTTTGCATTGAAAATTGAGGATTAATGCGCTCAATAGTATACTAATGTAAGATTTTCAGAATACCAGGGGTTATTTTTAGTAGTACTTGTCTTCAAAGAACCAGTTCTTCCTTAGAAGACTTTAAACAAAGGTTAAAAATTGACATGTAAAAAGGCGAAACATGTACAGTTCAGGATATACCTGGTTTCTATGAAGTTAAACTTAAGGTAAAATATTGAGAAAGCTGTGAAAATTGCAAAATTTGGTTGAACAGATAGGAATTTTTATTTGGTGGTCTGACACCTTTTTAAGTTTCATTAATCCGTCCATCTAGAAATGAGGTATGGGCAAAACATAATTTACCTTGCATAAAAAAGCATATACATGGTATTGTGTGACCAGAGCAGTATATTTTCAAGTTCACTTGTATGATGAACTGGTTTTTTTTTCTGATAACATTCATCCTGAGTTAAATTCAGTATCAAACTAGTCAAAATAAACTTTTTAGAAATTAGAGAACAGTCTATATACTTAGTTTGCTCTTCCTATCATCATGGCGTAGATTTAATCGAGAGACTAAATAAATGCCAGTTAAATCGTTTCCAGTAAACCTATCTGGTCATCAAATTGCCTTGCTGGACGTTTTATGATTGCATCCTCTTTTCACATTAAATATAAGTTAATCATGCTTCTATTGGCGGATTTTTTTTTTTTTTTTTTTAAATTTACAATAAATGTTTGTATTGGCAAACAGACATATTTGAAATGGATACAACGTTTACGCGAGAGAAAAAAAACCAATATCAACTAAAATGATGCGTCAATTCAAATTCTGACCTTTTCAGTGACACGTATACGAAACTACATCCAAATGCGAACTTAAGTTGGGTACTACCGTTTGAAATTTAGGTTTCTTTTTCATTTCAATTGTTTGTTTTTTGGGGTTTTTTTGTCGACAAGTGTTACCATGTCGAATAATTGACTTGATCTTTCCGCTTTAATAAAATATCTTATACGGCTTTATTGCATGACGACCATTTGTTTACTTGTTTCCTCCTTAATTTGATAAAAAAAAAAAAAAATAATTAGTGTCTTTCATTCATTTATTATTTTATATTACAAAAAGTGATGATTTGAATATTTTGCGGTATTAAAGGACATATTGTACACTTTTGTCAATCAGTCAATCAACACTTATATTTAGTACTAAGGACCTCTCTCTATGAATTGGTTGAACAACACATTTTTAATCGGTGTATAATACTTGCAGCCAGACGGAAAATACATTGAAAAAAATAAATAAATAAACGATCGATACAATATAATCGATGTATTTCTGTCAATAATGCACCAATAGCAAAATACTTTTAATTTACCTAGTCTCTATATGTGTGTTGATTGATATGAAAATGTTATAACTTTTGCCGGTAATTACAGTAAGTACATACCAGTGTGTTGTGTTTAGTCATAGTTATTTGACAACTTCGGAAAATCTTTTTCCTGTAAAGTTTGTTTCGCGGTTTTTGATTTGAAAACAACTTTGTACAATGAATGACACATTTATTAGAAAACTGGAGTATAAACTGTACAACACATTTTGCAAATGATTAATACAATGTGCATTTAAACCACACTGTTCAATAAAAAAATATACCACATGTGTGCGCGTTATTATTGGTTTTTTTTTTGTTTGTTAATCTAATAGCCATTGTTTGAGTTTTTGTCCATGTTCCACTATTTAGATAACTCATGGTACCATTATACTCTTTGGAATTCGAAAAAAAAAACAGATCAAGAATTAATTCCTGAAAGCAAAAAGGATAAAATATAACGATTAATATAAATCTATGATTAAATATAACGCATGCCTCTCTTGAAAGAATTTTTTCATAATTATAATACGTGTTTGTACTGGCACAAGGATATATTTGATATGGATACAACATTTAATCAGTTCAAATTCTTTCTTTTTCAGTGACACATATACAAAAGTACAACAAAATGCGAATTTAAGCTGGCTACAGATGCAAATTGATTTATTTGAGGAATATAGAATTAAAACAGTTTTTCCAATACATCTTCAGTTACTTGCATTACCGGGATCGATTCTAGCAATTCTGTGGTTTTGCTATTCATATCTGCGTAACAAATATATAGAGAAGACACGAGAGCCTTCAATGCCTAACGAACATGACAATAAGAAACCATTTATTAACGACCACCCAGTGTTTGTAAGAGGTATGCTGAATATATTTATCTGAATAAAAAACCACTATTGTTGTATTTATTACTTATATTTTGTCATCATATACGCGGAATAGTCTTATATACAGGAAAGACTTTTATGGATTCAAACTGCACCACATTCTTTTCAAAACAAATCGTCTTGTTTCCGTTATTTCAAATGTTTATCAGTATATTTTATGTTTTTGTTTGTAATAGATAGTTTATCTGCACTTCATTCATAAAAATGTTACAGTATCGACAACATTATATTTTTATATATTTGTTTGAATATGGTTTGTGGAGTATTTCGTGTGACGAAATAATCCATTTCATATTTTTACTAATAAATACAATGTATTAAAATATTTTAGTGTTTCTCTATGATACCAATTATGATATCAAGCCAAAAACGACATACGATGCAGAAATGACAGGGATATATAGAGCATGTGAAGACGAAGGGTAAATATATAGTTAAATGTATCATTTAGTATACAGTAGTATGTATCTTTTTAGTTATCACTCGTATTATTTTGTTGAAGAAAAAAAATGTTTCTGGATGCAAATTCATCGGGATTTTTTTTTACATCAAAACAGTTTTTAACGTTGGCATATATAAAGCCAACAGTAGGTTAATGTGACCTACCGAATTAGACATATGACCAGGTTTGTACTTACATAACCAAAACGATGGGTGCCACATGTGGAGCAGGTTCTGCTTAACCTTCCAAAGCATCTTAGATCAATCCAAATTTTGGAGGGGTTTGAGTTGCTCAGTCTTTGGTTTTCTCTGTTGTTTTGTGTACTGATGTTTGTTTGTCTTTTACTGTTTAGCAATGGGGTTTTCAGTTTATTTTCGACCTATGAGTTCAAGCGTCCCTTTTGTATCCTTAGAATTTCTTTTAAAGATGTTTAGGTTTCATTTATAAAATTTAAAGACAACTCATGTTAACAGGCACAATGTAAGATTGTCGTATTAACTCTAAATGTTGCACTTTAACAATACAGCTGTTTCACAAGCCATGCTTCTTTTGGGGAGATATATAATATTCATAGATATTTTGTTGTGTTAACATTGTGGTTCCCAGATATGATCTCTATGTTTCATCTCATAGAGAAATAACTTGGGAATGTTACCAGTATAAAAACACATGGTAGCGGAGAAAATTGAATTCTGAGGGAGACTCGAAGTGAATGTTGGGGTTGTACAAACTTTTAGTATAAGTTTAAACTCTAAGAAGTTCGGGGCATATAAATGTTGAAAATATGCCACACAGCTCTATGTTTTGACCTTTGAATAAAAAAGTAGTCCATATCAACTTTCCGTTATAGGATATAATTTTTCACGAAACCTCATTAAAAGTGGCACAGATTTAGCCGCAAAGGGAGTTCCTGTGGGAAATTGCATTGTCTATATTTACAGAAGTGCAACCTATATTGGTCGAAAAAAAAACCATATAGAATTTCACCAAATCTTGTTTATCTCAGAGATTTTAATAAACTTAACTCAAATATAAAGTTTTATAAATATTTCATGAAGATTGCGAAAATCCTGGGCCTTAATTATGATTACTCAGCATACATTAACAGTTTACAGTATGCATAGTTTACTTAAGGCCCTGAATGCAAAATAAATTCATAATATATGCATTTTGCAATTTAAATTGTTAAGAAGTACTTATATTTACTCTTCGCAGTCATTGAAACTTATAGATCCTTGATGAATATTGTTGTTGGGGTGTTTTTGTCCTGTCGATAAGTAATCCGTAACACCTGAATTTGCTTGTTTTGTGACCGCGGCTAAAAAACAAATACAAACTAGAAATACAAAAATACCTCAATAAAACTATCAATAGTATGGTCTATCATAAATATTTACTAAATGTTCCATATTCACAGAAACAGCAGAAAAGTTAGCAAATTTGAGGCCCCAGTGGCAAAAAAACAGAGAAAAATGACTACCCTCTGGGTCATACAACAGATAATTTAACCAGTAAATGCTATGATTTTATTATTTTAAAAGTCTTTTGTATAGAAAAAAATAACTGTGCTTGGAGGTTATGAAAAAGACAGATGTTACCAGTCAGTTCTTTAAAACTTTTAGTGAATTCATACATCAGATTGGTAACTTCATACATACAATTTTTGCAAATATGGCTTTGTTTAACACTTCTAGATCATATGTTAACTAAATTATGTTAGATTTATGGTTAGAGATGATATTGTTGTAATAAGATTTCTAAACTGACCATTTGAGGCAGAAATTGTGATTTTTTATTGACAAATAGGCATACAGTAAGATGTGAACTGGAGGCAGAGGCAGGATTGGATACTTTATATAATCTTGACTGTTCGAATGATTAACTACTAAACTTTACATTTATAGTATTCGTAAATGCTTTCAATTTGTTATCAGAATAGTTTCAAACAGGTTCTAGCCCTTTCATGTCAGCAAACATGCACATAGGTTAAGCTGACAATAATTAAAGTCTTGTTTTCAAAAATCGAAACAGGGGTGGGGTAGTAAAATATACTGTAAAAGAAAAGTTAGAGTATATGCAGTGATTTCTTTAAGGCTATAAATCTGATAAATAAGTATTGTTGTGAGAAAAAGTGTTTTTCAAGAGTTTTCTATTTAAATAAATGTTAGTATAGGTTGCACTTTGTAAATACAGCTGTTTCACAAGCAACCCCTCTTTTGGGGAGATATATAATATTCATAGATATTTTGTTGTGTTTACGTTTACGTTCCCAGATATGATCTCTATGTTTCATCTCATAGAGAAATAACTTGGGAATGTTACCAGTATAAAAACACATGGTAGCGGGGAAAATTGAATTTTGAGGGAGAATCGAAGTGAAAGTAGGGGTTGTACAGAATGTTAGCATAAGTTAAAACTCTTAGAAGTTCGGGGTATATAAATGTTGAGATTATGCCGCACAGCCCTATGTTTTGACCTTTGAATAAAAAAGTAGTGCATATCAACTTTCCGTTGTAGGATATAATTTTTCACGAAAACTCATATTAAAAGTGGCACAGCTTTAGCCGCAAAGGAGTTCCTAAGAGAAATTGCATTGTCTATATTTACAGAAGTGCAACCTAAAGGAAGCGAGACCGGGTGCGTCGACAGGTGTTTCCCGCTATGAAAAGGGAACTCGACATGCGATTCCACGCTCGGTCAAACTATCACAATCGGAAATAAGGTTACATTCAGGACAAAATACAGATTAGATGACTATTCTGGTAAAGACAAATCTTTCTTTCACACAACTCTGTTGGAGCAGTTTTTCTGTAAGAAGCACACTCCTGCTATTACAGTTGGAAGAATATACACACAAGCGCAACGAAGCAATTGAGATATGTAATCGCTTTAAGGGTCAGAGGGTATAAATTGTCGGCATTCCTATGGGAACGAACTGTGCACCTCTCCTTACCGACCTCTTCTTATTTTCATATGAGTCGGAGTTCCTTCAGAAGATCAAAGAAGCCAGATCATTTAATTTCACATTCAGATATATTGATGATGTTCTTTCCATTATCAATCAAAACTTTTCTGATTCGGTTCCATCAATATATCCTCCAGAACTTGAAATTAAAGAAACAACAGACGCGGCTTCCTCTGCCTCATTTTTAGACTTATACCTCGAATTTGAAATAAGCGGTCATCTCAGTACTAGAATCTATGACAAACGAGACAATTCTAATTTTGAAATTACCAATTTCCCCCACCTTAGTAGCAAAATACCAACTTCACCTGCATATGGGATATACATTTCTCAACTCATTTGGTATTCAAGAGCTTGCAGCTGCTACTCAGACTTTATAAAACGTCATCAGTGTCTGAGCAGAAAGTTGATGATCCAAGGGTATGTCAAAAAACGTCTCGTCCTTTTCCTAAAAAAGTTCATCGGAAGATACCAAGACCCTGTTGATAAATATTCCGTATCAACTTCACAAATTATACACGATGGTCTTGAAATATAGATTCTAGGTACTGACGTTGTTTGTCATCTTAATAACGTCTTATAGTGTTCTTTTGTTTGTCTTTGTAAATTGTTACTTTTACTGTTTAGTTCATTTTTGTCAATATCTATTTGACGTGGCTCGGTACTTAAACATCCCGTCATTGTGTTGTTGTGCTATAATGAATTTGTGTGTTCTTGTCTTTCGTTTTTGCTAATGTGCTTTGTCTATATGCCTTTTTGTTTATCTTTGTTGATATATTTGCTTGTATTTATAGTGATTCAGATTATACATGTTATAACACAATGTTGACTGCTGTTCCCCTATTTTTGACATTTTTACCGATTATGTCTGTTTGTTTTGTTCACACATCGTTGTCAATATAACGGAATTTATGCGACTATCATACAAGTGAGAGGTTTAGCTAGCTATAAAACCAGGTTTCATTGACATATTTTCTACATAAGAAAATGCCTGTATTAAGTCAGGAATATGACAATTGTTATTCATTCGTTTGATGTGTTTGAGCTTTTGATTTTGCCATTTGCTAAGGGACTTTCCGTTTAAAAATTAAATTTGAATCTTAAATTTGAGTTCCACTTTTATATACAAGCACTCACTAAAATTTGGGTTATTAAGTAACAGAACATCGTCAATATATCGGAAAGTGATACTACAGATCTTTACAATATGTTTTCCTTTTTGTCTTGTCTTTGAAAAGGTTTTGCTAAATTTTGCGTCATATGAACACAAAAACAAGTCTGGCAGGAGGACTGCCCTCTCATTCCCCATTGGAATACCGATTTTCTATTGAATTATCAATTCATTAAACTCATGAAATATGTGAACGATCAAAGAGGTCGGTATTTTTACTATATTATACCCGATTAATTTGTTTCGGGAATAAGTGCAAGTTTTCACAAAGCAAGATTTGTAATGACCTAAAGCAAGACTTTTGTTTATACGAATCATTATTCGGAAAAAAAAAAGAATTAAAACAATGAAAGATGGCCTCGATTTCATACCCACTTGTAAAGAAACGGTGTTATGTAGTATTTAATTATGCTTGGTCTTATATTTTGAAATGCAGGTATAGTAAAATTCAATTGAAATCGAAGCATTACACAAGTCTTTCATAATAGAAAGCTGTCTTTGCAAAATGGCTACCTCGAAATCTCCGAAAGAACTAGAACCTGCCAAAAAGTTGAATAACAAAAAAAACGAACTTCGAGGAAAATCCAAAACTGGAAGTCCCTAATTAAATGGCGAAATGAAAAGCTCAAACACAGAAAACGAATGGATAACAACTGTCATATTCCTAACTTGGTACAGGCAATATATTGAACATTGAAAAAACAATGATCTTCTTGTACAATTTCGAAAAGCAGAATGTATGTAGCTATTTAAAAAAGAAAATGAACATCACAGTTATTGATATGCTATCATCAACTAATTTTGTGGCAGAATTTTCCTCAAATTTTCAACTATTAGTCTGTTGTTGACATAGTATGTCTTATATATATATATATATATATATATATAAAAACAGGTGTTAAATTATTAGAACCAAATGAAATCGAGTTTTAATTGTTTGTACGGTATTGGATAGTATGTATCTCTTTGCTTATCTTTCTTATAATATGCTTGGTTTTTTTTTTCAAATGTATGATGGTTGATATTTTTATCGATTTCAGAAAAATAGACCTCTCCGATAGCGACGCAATAACGGTAAAATCTATATTAACTATACATTTATCGGAAGGATTATATAAACTTTTCACATATATGTACATATTACAAAAAATCTTTAATTGTATTTCTAACTTCTTCATATTTTAACGTTTTCAAAATTGTATAATAACGTTCTTTATAATTATGTTTAGTATGTTCAAATAGTATATGAACAACCAATTTTAAAATTTGGGAAAGCTATTTAAACTACATTCTTAAATCAAGCAAAACGTGCAATGTCTTTCACGCATCACCATAGTGTAACATGAGCAAAATTTCACGAGTTTGACTTGAAAATTTGAATAATTCGGAAAATTTAAATTAACAATTGTTTATTGTGTTTATTTGGTGGGTTCAATACAACCTCAAGTATTCTTTGTAGTGTTTCTTAGACTGTTGTTTTTATGTTCCTGTATCATGTTTTGGTAATGACTGTGTCTGCTTTAATATGAATTTATTCTGTGTAAGATATTGCATTATTCGAAACATTGGTTTAACTTGCCTTAGCCGTATTCATGGTATTTGGCACAAACTTTCGGAATTTGAAGGGTTTTTTTTTCCTTACTAACTGTTTGAAGTTGAATGCTATTGATGGGTCCGATGCACAAGAAAATACACGCATTAGACAATGGTTGTACTTCTAAGTACACTGCAAAGGGTATTTAGTAAAGTATTGTAATCTGAAATGACTGTTAGTTCCTAACAACATTTGAATTGTTTGAAACTAAACACGTTTATTCGTTATTTTCCGATATTTTATTCGTGTAAATTGAACACTTTTCAGACTTTAGTATCATCCTACGAGTAAAGTGTATTTCTATTGTTGTTCGTGGATTCTTGTGTTGCCTATATTATTAATTAAAATCAAATACTATTTGGTATTAATGTGTCTGTTTATTAGCACATTGGTTACCGTATCATAGTATTACATTAGTTCAGATGTATTATATAATTTTGTGTTTATAAGGGTGCGTTCAAGACAATATGTTGTTATAGGTGCATGTCTACAGCCAGTTTTTATTCTGATTAAAAGGACATTCTTTATAAACTTGTTTTTGCTTGGAGAATACCTGATTTTCATTTCAAACATTTCAAATCTGAACGAAATACGTCAAATATCTTAGTTAATTTTTATTTTCCTTTCAGACATTGAACCGACTGAGAATGATAGAAGATTCCTTACAAGACATGGTATGTATATCAATCAATTTAATGGTATTATTTATCTAGATGAAAGTTGTTACAATTATCATTAATTGACCTTTCAAAATACATGTGGTGGTGTCTAGTTTTATGGTTGTACTGTTACCTTAAAATAATAATGCCTGCCCTAATTAACAACGCCATGGCATAAACAAAAAGCGACCAAGGGACAATTCACAGTAAACCAAACACAAAATAGAAACTCCGGAGGACGATGCAAACACTACTCCATTAAAGAGATGAGATACAATACGCACACGTATATCCAAAGATAAATCTTTATTTTTTTATGTGCTGTTTTTCAGATTTATTGTTATTTGCCTGTCGTCGTTTAAGCTCGTGCTGGTATTCAAGGTCTACGTTCATAAAAGAAACAAAACATCCACGCATATCGTATTTACGTGCAAATTAGACAGTGTAATAAATTTATCAGGTAGTGCATAATTTCGACATCGATTTAATTATACCTAATGATTAGAATTTCCATTAAAAAAATTAAATCTTGCTTCAGAGAGAAAAAGAGGACAGACGAAATCAAGAGGTATGTAAACAAGTTAATTCTGTCAAATTATTACAGTCTCCTTCTGAATTAATTTGATGAAATTTCAAGGTAAAAACAAAGTTCTCATTTTGACACATTGTGATAGATTTTTGTTGTTGACATTGAAGAATAGGAAGAGAATCACTATTACATTTCTCCTTTTTTTATGGGTTATTAGAAAACTCAATCATTCTGTCGATATACTTTCATAAGTGAAGCCCGATCAACATATTTTATTCAGATTGAATATAGTTCTTGAAGTGTTCAATTTATTTGAATAAAAATTCGCTTTGTTTAAGGTCCGAACTTTTTTTGAATTACTTGTTGGAATATTCGTTTGTGTCATCAATTTGTTTAGTTTTTTTTCCCTTTTGATTGTTTTAAGTTATATCATAGTATAAACATGTCTAAATGAATGGTAAAACAAATGTCTTCGTCTAATTTTGATGAGATTTATTGCCATGTTTTTCATGACAAAACATTTCAGAAAGTTAACATTTATCATTTCATTTTTACGGAGATTTCGGTTACATTATCACGTAGACATAACAATGTGAATAACATATTGTGTCAAATGCAAGACTATCTTACAAATCTTCACTACTCTGTTTACAAATGCTAGCTTTTTTAAGAATGTTAAAGATAAATAACGGAATTAAAAAAGCAGAAATAGATAAAAGATCCGTATATTTTTTTTTAGATATAAATTATGTAAATTTGGCGGAACTGGTTCTCGCTAGATTGTGTATACCTTGATAATTGCAACCCCGTAGCTATGTAATTTTTATTTTGATATTTGGTTCTTCTTTTTCGGGTATTCGTTAATGCATTCTTTTTATTTTCTTTGTTTGTTAATGTATTTGTATGTTTGTTTGTTTGTTTGTTTGTTTGTTTTACCCTGATTTTTTTCATTTGAATTCATCAACTGAAAACTTTTATCAAGCATTTGTTAATAACATTTTATTATTTCTAATGTCGTTTTTATGTCTTATTCGTCAAGAAACGATGATTATAAACTGACTTGTTTAGAGAAACACCTAGGGTTAATGGCTAGAACATGATTATTTGTTTTACCTTTTCAGTTGATGAAAAGAGACAAAAAGATCGAACAATTGTTGACAAAAATAGCAAAAGAGGTTTGTAGTGCAACCAAATATGCAGTTTTGTGGTAATAAAAATAAAGGTGTTATTAAAGTACCGTTTTTTACCATTTAAACAAATCCGACTTAATTTGAATCCATGAATAATCATGGATAATTGTGTGGTAAGCATTATTTTGGATAAGTCAGAAATGGGTTTACAATATACTTTGGATGATAAATAATTCAAGCGAAAAACTTGTATCTTGTATGTACAAGCATTATAATATAAAGACTATAATTTATTAACATCCTTTTTGAACAGATTACCAAATTTATAAAAAAAAATCCTGAGTGTATAGATCTTGTCATGTTGATTTTTGTTTTTTGGAAACAACACTTTTAATATATATAATTCCTTCAGCATTAGAAAAAAAACAACAACAACCACTTCTGCAAAAAATATTTTCTTAATGATTTCGGTAGATAGATCTTGTCGTGCTGATATGTTTTGCAAATAAAATATTTAATAAATATGTGCAGAGTCAAATGAAAGTAAGAATAAAAACTGAGGGATTTGCATGAACTCTAAAAGCAACAAGACCGTTGCGACGACCTAGAAGCGACTCCTGCTGCACAGTCAGTCAACATTTCCAAGTTGGGAATAGGCTACACCCGTTAAAATTACAGACATATAACATTGCTCATAAAACGCAGTTTTTAATAACGAGTCAAATATTGTGAAAATCGGTAATGTTAACTTTGAGGAGAAATACATCCTTATGGGGTCGTAAGATGTTAATTGATTTGGAAGGTAGATTACACTTTTAATTGACACTTTCAACTCAACTTCAATATATTTAGATACAATAGCCAAAAAATGCCGAAACCGTCAAAAATCGATATTTCATGGACAACAACTTCAAAACTGGATGATACACTTCTCTGAATTTTGTAAGAGGTTGATAAACTTGTCATGTTTACCATTTTTATCCAATTTATCTCTTATTGCTTTTTCTGATTAAAATTAGCTAACAACTGTTATTTCAACCGGTGTTCAATATTAGCCAAAGAAACCTTGTTTGGCCATGAGAGTTTATAACAGATGAAGTACATGTTGATTATAAATCAGTTCAGTTTAATGCAAATGTTAAATGTTTATTTGCTGATTTTAATGACTAAATTTGTTTTCACTTTAAGTTGCAGGTAGACGAAAAAGCAGAACAAATCTTAAAGACAAAGGAAATTCCTGAAGAAGCAAATCAAAAAACTGAATTCTGATTTGTTGTAGTCCGGTAAGTAAAGTTTGAATTAATCGGTTGTAGAGGTTATTTTTTCTTACCATTTTTTTATCTCTCGTTACCCCAAGAGCCGAAAAATAGCATTCATATTACAGCTATTTTCCATTTCATGAATTATATTTATTAACACAAAACGAAAAACTATAAGCTTAAAGATAGGCGGAAGGTACTAAGGTGACATTAAAAACTAATAAGTCGAGATAAACTGACAACACTATAGAAAAAAAAACGAAAGATCACCAAAAAAATGGACGGCTGGTATACTCTTTAGCAAATGTATCAACTACTAAGTAACTGTTGCTGTCAAGAACAGTGTGTTGTTATTTAAGACCTGCTTACACTGTAAAAATGCATAATTGCTAGATTTGTTTTCTTTTTGTTTTATAGCAAGGAAATGTGTACATATAAAATGTTTGTTTTTCGTGAATCGTGAATATACATGATATAATCAGTCATTATTTTTTTTTTTTCATTTGAATTGTTTCCCATTCTTCATGTTGATGCCTTTAATATCTAGCTATAAAATTTGAGTTGTTCAAAACCGTATTTTGAACATGCATATTATTTATAGTTACATATGGTGCAGATACAAATTTGTAAAATGTCCCTTGCAATGGATAGCTGCCAAGATATAACTAAATTTGACTATTAAAGTTCTTTTGCAACTTTAAATAATAACAATCCGATAAGATTGAATTAAACTGTGTACTGTGTATGTACACTGGTTCACAAAGATAAGTATGCGTTATTATTTTTTTTGTGGCTTTCATTGAAATAGGTATGATAATGTCTTTACTATAATGATCGATTTTCTTATTATGTGATCTTCGATTACGTTTTCGTTTAAATGTCCTTTTTATCATGCAGCGTCTGGTACGTACATTTGTACATGTTTCGTCTTAAAATCTTTTGATAGACAAAAAAAAAAAACAAGATCTGGATGAAAATTCTATGGTATATATTTTATTTTGCAGATGATGAAAATATGAAAAATGAAGAAATTGGTTTGATACAAATTTGAACAAGAACGCATCTCTGTTTTATAATATCACTTTGCAAATGCAAAACAGATGTGACGAAAGCACATCGGAAATTGATGATCGAAATCATATTCAGAGACAATTGCCTTTTGATACTGTTTTAGTGTAACTTATATTTTTATTCTATATATTCAAGAGAGATATTTTAATATATTTTTATATTTACTCCTTTATAAACAATTGCTATGACTAACTGAACATGTACTTGTTTGATGAATATCTATATTTTCAACAATTTTACCGACCTCTTCCCCATACTATAAAAAAAGATAAAACATGGCACAAAAAACATCGATTCGATTCCTAAGTTTAAACATCTTCTTCCAAGAATGTATTTTTATCTAAAGTTAATGTACCATATTCTTTAATAAAGGATATATTGAACAATGTGCTGAAAATCAATGAAGATGCTGATAATGTCAATGAGAATATAACAGTAGTTTTTTTTTTAAATTAAAACACACCTGACTACATGTTGCTATATACGTACAGTTATGAAAACTTATGATTATACATCCTGTAGATACTTTTTACTTATATTTTATCATTGCACAAGGTCATGCATTTCTCAGGCTGTTTATGACGTTATTTACCCTACAGTTGAATGTATACTAGTTGATACTTTAGTCTAGGAAAACATGATTTACTTATCAGTTGCAATTGGCTTTGAACTAGCCTTCAGCAACTACGAGTACTCTTTGTTTTGGGTCTTTGTATTCTTTGTTTAAGTGCCTCTCGTCAATCTTTTGAGTTGCAAATTGCAACTGAATTCTACAGCTTGTTCTTATGTTGTGCTGTATAACACGGCTGTCTCAGGTAAAGGGAGGGTTGAGCGCTCACAAACATATTTTACTCTGCCACATTCGTTTTGTGCCTGTCTCAAGTCAGAATATTATGTGGTTGTCTCAAGTCAGAAGCTTTTGTGCCTGTCTCAAGTCAATGTCAGACCCGTCATTGGTTCAGGTCTGTCATAGATATGAGAAGATGTGGTATGACTGCCAATGAGACAACTCTCCATCCAAGTCACAAATAGTAAAAAGTAAACCATTATAGGTCAAAGTACGGCCTTCAACACGAAGCCTTCAAGTTGACTCACACCAAACAACAAGCTATAAAGGGCCCCAAAAATGACTAGTGTAAAACCATTCAAACAGGAAAACCAACGGTCTCATCTATATGAAAAACCAGAAACGAGAAACACTTATGAACCACATCAACGAACGACAACCACTGAACAACAGGTTCCTGACTTAGGACAGGTGCAAACAAATGAAGCGGGTTTAAAGTTTCAACAGGCACCAACCCTCACCCTAACCCGACCCGAAGTAGTGGTGTAACATGTCAATATCGAAAGACACTCTATAAAGTATCAATTGAAATGACTTAACTCAATCAAAAACACAAATTAACAAAAACAAGTAAACATACACTGAACGAATAAATTTGATCTATGACAAAATATAAATACAATATTAATGAAAAAGGGGGAGATGTAAACCAATATCAGAGAGACAACTATAACATTGGAAAAAATGGCTTTAAATGAAATAACGTACACAGGTAACTACAACAATTTTGTTGTAAGGAGTACATGTTTTTGTTTTTTCGTAAATTGTTTTGTTATAAATTAGAATAAAATTGAGAATGGAAATGGGAATGTGTCAAAGAGACAACAACCCGACTAAAGAGCAGAAAACAGCCGTTTTGTCGTTTGAAATTTTAACATTTTCTATGTCGGTCCTTTTATAGCTGACTAAACAGTGGCCTATAATTGCTTACTACCACTTGATTTTAACTCTGTTTAAGGACATATGGTGGCCTATTGGATAACTGTCTCATTGGCAATTATGCCACATCTCCATATATTCAAATAAGTTTTCCTGAGGTCACAAACAACTTATCTAACTTTAAGCTATAGATCCACTACTGATGCAATATTTTATTGAACGATAATAATAGAAATAGAAATTTGTATGCAAATATTTTTGTTATAAAGAATAAAGTATGGAGAAATGTTGGGGGGTTGGAGGGTTAAAATTTTAGTTTCTTTGGAAGGAGGGGTCTTGAATTTATTTTCCCTCCTCACGGTGGGGAAATGAAAAAAATCAGAGAAATTCCACTGTTTTCTCCCGTCCCCCACACCCCCACACCTGAAAGAAAAAGATCAGTCCCCAATGCCTTTTGGTACTGTTTTTTTGTACCTTCAAATCTCTTAAAATATATGAGAATGAGAGATATTTTGTGTATTGTTATTCTTACTCTTTTCATTTATCATTGCTAGTATATGTAGTAATTGTTTGATTTACATTTATATTGTGTATGAATAGTTACATGTAAATCAAATTTTTTTTATTTGGTCTTTTCATTTAATTTCTCATATATAAAGATTTAAAGATATATTTAACCAGGATGAAAAGAATGTAATCTCGTTGTTTTCTTCATTGTTTTAGTATAACTGCTCATTGCTACATTTTGGTTTTTATTAATAAATAAAGATATTTTATATTTAAAATAGCTTGTTCATTTTTGCAGATGTCATTGATAATAACACAATATACATTTTAGCTGCTTTTATTAATTTAAATACATTTTTTATTTGTTTGCCTCGTTAGATAACTTAAAATTGAACATCATTATCGTTACTACACTTTGGCTTTTCACCTTCACATGTCAAGCATTTAAGAATGCCAAAATTTGATTTTTTTTCAAAAATCAAGTATGAGCAAAAATAGATGTTGGGCCGAAGGACTGTGTATACTAGGATATAAACACGATATAAATACTTATGTCTGGCAACAATTAAAGGCATGGGTATTCGGCATTCCAATATCTGCTAAATAGAGACGTTTGAAGATTTAACATTAGTTATATTTTACGCAAAACAAATTTGCTTAAACTTAATTGTCTGGCTTTAAATCCATGTAAGCACATGTTCTGTTAGAGATTTTGTTCTCAAAGTCATACACCTAGCGATGATAAAATATATGAATTCAATTGTGCAACTCTTTCAAAATGTATAACTGATTCTAAATATAAGACAGCTTAATATTTGAGGATAAAACAAAATAACCTAATAAGAAATTGATGAGAAAATGTCCTGTGAAAAATATTACATGCATGTTCAGGACGAGAACAAATTAACAAAAAAAATACTAGGTGGGTCCTGAAATAGGGATTGACCGGGATGATGGGTGGGTAATTTGGACTGCCACTCGATTTGATTTTTGATTTTTGGTGTTTTAACGCCACTTTTAAGCACCGCTTTTGGGCTATTTCGTGGCGGCCAGTTTTTATTGGTGGAGGAAGCCGGAGTGCCCGGAGAAAACCACCGACCTTCGATAGGAAAACTGACAATCCTAGTCAATTAAGATTGGAGTCGAGTGCACCCGCACGAGCGGGGTTCGAACTCACAACCTCAGTGTTGACTGGCTAGTGATTACAGTAGTAACTACTTAGACCACTCGGCCACCGAGGCCCCTTACTGCCACTCGAATATGATTACATAGTGTGCTAGTGACCTTATACAATATATATGGGGTCAGTAAATTCCATATGGGGTGAGAGCGAAGCATATATATCGTATTAAGTCACTATAGAACACTATGTAACGAATTTATCTTACCGACTACCTTAACATGTGGTATTTAGACGAGTGGCCTATCAAAGTGATCAAGTCTTCAATACCGTTAGTATTAACAACCTACTTCCATTGGTCTATACAAAAACAAATGCCAACAATAACAAGTTGTTAGCTTTAAATGTGTTTTAAGAATTTATTTCAATCGTTCATCATCAATTTCTTCGTCTGTTGAAACCTTTATGATGTTTTCTCAACACCGTGTTGTTTTTATAAAGGACGTAACACCGCTACTAACCGTGTATTGAAATTAGCCCCGCCTACTAACCCAATATGGAATATATATACGGTCTCCACGCTGTTGCTTTTAACCAATCATACTCCTAGAAATGTATAGGAGGTAAGATAAGAGGGTATATTGGATTACAACATTAAGCCTTGCAACAGGCTACCTACGGACCCCGTAAAAGAGTTGTTGCAAGGGTTTTAAACGTGCAAAAAGCGTGACATTCTCTCAACACGAGGCATCAGATTTAACGGTCCCAATTCTGACTGGAAGTGGCTGCGTATTTATACATCCTGCACAACCAAACGGAACTTCCACTTTGGTAAGGGTTTTCCTGCCGGTCCTTTGGGTAAAGAAAAGAAATATGGAACATACTGCAGTGAAACAGCAACCAAAAAACACAAAAAATACATATAGAGTTAAGCATACGGTCCTCTGATAGAAGGTTGTAAATACAATTCATACAGCTGGTCCGAGTACACAGTTATCGTCCTTTGATTTTCGTTGTCCAGTAATATAGTCCCTAGTGTGGACAGTGTGTTACATGCCTATTTTTTATACCCCATCCAAATTTATTTCTCCATGTTTTATGCCTAAAATAGCAAGCAGGGGGATGAAATTACACTGTAAACAAATTTGGGTCATGAATTTTAAAGTAAAGTAGTGATTTGGTCCAGCTGAAAAAGGTTACAAATAAGCACTTCGGAAGCTGTCAAAAGATTTCAGGACCCCCTTAACATAAAATTGTCCATATTTTGAGTTAGAGCCGATGAAGTTTTCTATAATTTTGATATAATTTGTCCCAAAAGTAGTACAACACACTGTAAAAATTATATTGAGAAAGCGCAGGTGGGATTTTTTTAATTTTCATTTATTGTCTAAAATAAATGCACTACGAAATAACTGTGTACTCGGACCAGCTCCAAATCGCCGTGTCAATTAATTCCATATATGTTTTCCCTTAAGCGAACATATACTTGCATATAAACTTTAATATAGATATCAAAGTGCTTTTCATCAAAGCACAAGAGAAAAACGACATAGCATTTATTTACATCTGCAGTTTAGCTGTTATATATGAAGTCTTAAAAATAGTTTGTGATTTAATCAGCTTGTGCTTGACAAAGGCTGTTGTTGCATCCTGCATATACTTATTTATTTAGTAAGGTACTTGTATATTAGTTAGCTGGCTACATCAAAACTGCTCAAGAACTGAAGAGGTACTCAAAGGACTCTTTACTGCTACTCATCTGTATTGTTTATAGTTTCGTTTCTGATGGTAAGAGATCATTAACGGTGATGCTACTTCTTATATAAGCTTTTTGGTTGACTCATAATTTGTTTCCGTTTTTCACGAACA